ATGTTGGTCTGCTGTTAACCAGATGATGGTCTCTTGTTGACCAGATGATGGTCTCTTGTTGATCAGATGTTGGGCTGATGTAGACCAGATGTTGGTCTTTTGTTGACCAGATGTTGGGCTGATGTAGACCAGATGTTGGGCTAATGTAGACCAGATGTTGGTCTTTTGTTGACCAGATGTTGGGCTGATGTAGACCAGATGTTGGGCTAATGTAGACCAGATGTTGGTCTGTTGTTGACCAGATGATGGCCTGATGTTGGAGTGTTGTTAACCAGATGTTAACCATTTGTTAACCAGATGTTGACCTGATGTAAACCAGATGTTTGGTCAGATGTTAACCATTTGTTGACCGGGCGTTGGTTTGTTGTTGACTGGATGTTGGTCAGATGTTTAGCATCTCCAGATTGACTGGCAGACATTTTAATTTAATTGAAATCTTAATAAAGACCCAACCAACACTTTGTGACAGTAAGGGAATGTATTCCTCTGGTGAAAGGCAGAACTTCCCGAAGGCAGATCCTCTGCAGAGAGATGGGGTTCCTTTCTTCAGGAAAACAAATGATTCTGCTTCCAGGAGAACCGGACTAAACTTTTGCTCATCCCGGAGTATCACCGGCGGCGAGGGCCTCGTCTTCTCATACAAACAAATGACGCTGTCTGAACCCAAAAGGTCACAGCGTAGCCGAGGAAAATCACAGAGCCACGCAGTCAATTCCTCAGTGCGACTGCGAAACACCCCCCCCAGCCCCCCCCGCTCCAAGGACCACTTGCTGGAATTTATGGTTGGAGCCCAGCACCTCTTCTCCGTTTGAATAATAGCTATCGAGTGGAAGAAGCCTGGGCCGATGGCAAGTCTAAAATAGAACGCAGCCTCACCTGAACACAGGTTGTTTATTGTGTGTGACATCTGGATTTATGCACATCTGTTCCTGTTCACTTCAAGAGATGCAAATGATCTGCAAGTTAAACCAGAACCCATGAGTCCTGGTGTCAGTCCACAGTGAACTCTGTACTCTGGTGGGAACAGAACCCAGGATCAGGCTCAGCTCGTCCTGCTCTCAGAATCAGCAGGTGTGTCGGCTGAGTTCTGAGGTGACGTCAGCTCTGTGACCCGATCAGGACCACCTCCCACCTGACAGCCTGACCTCTGACCTCACTTTGAGGTCACTGAACATTTCCTGTGAGGCCAGCGCAACAGCAGGGAGGAATAAGTTCATTGTTCTTTTCTCACTTACAGCAGAACAAAGACATTCAATAAAAAAATTTAAACTTTCAATTTCTGAAAAATAAATACAATTTAAATAAAATGTAAATTAAAGTTAAATGAAAAAGAAAGTAATCTATCAGAGGAGACTGGCTCCTTGGTTCAATCCTGAGCTATGTACTTTAAAACAGGCATCTAGAAAGCTGCAAAGAAAATTGTAATGAATCTTCTTCATACACCAAAGTTAGTCATGGAGTTCCTCAGGGTTCAGTGCTTGGGCCAATACTCTTTACTTTATATATGCTTCCATTAGATAATGTTATTAAACAGCATGGGATACATGTTCATTGTTATGCTGATGATACACAGTTATATTTGTCCATTAAACCAATGAATCCAATCAGCTACTTAGACTACAAGCATGTCTTAAAGACATAAAAACCTAGATGACCCTTAATTTTCTCCTGTTGAACAGACAAGACTGAGGTTTTGGTTTTTGGACCTGAGCACCTTAGGAATGAATGTTTCAGTCTTTCTCCCTCCTTAGATGCATTAATCTGTCCTCCAGCTCTAATGTTAAAAATCTTGGTGTTATTTTTGATCAGGACATGTCTTTTATCCCCCACATTAAAAACGTTACTAGAACCTCCTTCTTCCACCTGCGTAATATCACTAACATTAGAAACATCTGATCTAAAGATGATGCAGAAAAACTGGTCCATGCATTTGTCACGTCTAGACTGGACTATTGCAATGGTTTATTATCTGGGTGTCCAAATACTTCTTTAAAACGTCTTCAGTTGATCCAACATGCTGCTGCCAGAGTCTTAACTGGAGTTACTGGGAGAGATCATATTTCTCCAGTTTTAGTTTCTCTCCATTGGCTCCCTGTCAAATCCAGAATAGAATTCAAAATCTTACTTCTAACCTACAAAGCTCTCAACAACCTAGCTCCATCTTATATTACAGATCTTTTTGTTCCATATTTTACTAACAGAGCACTTCACTCTCAGACTGCAGGTTTACTTGTGGTTCCTAGGGTTTCCAAAAACAGAATGGGAGGAAGATCTTCCAGTTCTCAGGCTCCTCTCTTGTGGAACCAACTTCCAGTTTCTGTCCATGAGGCTGACACATTATCCAGTTTTAAGACTGGGATTAAGACTTTCCTTTTTCCTGCTCCACGTAAAAAAATCTAGTAAAGAAACTGAAAGTTAAACTGGGTTTCTTTTTCAGAAACAGATCCTGTCTAACTCTGAATGTTAGGAAACACCTTGTATCTGTGACTTTCCTTCCCTCCATTGATTACGGTGACATCTTAACATGTGATTCTTGACCTGCCATTGTGTATCTATTCCTACCAAACCCAGCCGGTCGAAGCAGATGGTCCTCTTGTCCTGATCCTGGTTCTGCTAAAGGTTTCTTCCTCATGAGAGAGTTTTTCTTTCCACTGTCGCCTTCATGCTTGTTCAAGCTGAGAGTTCAGTGATGGAGTTAAACTCAAAGCTGCTCCTCAGATAAATAATGTTCAATTATTATTTTATAGATAAATAATGTTCAATTATTATTTCTGGTAATCAAGCTGCTGCCCCCGCGACCTGACATCGAAATAAGTGGAAGATGATGGATGGATGGATGGATGGATGGATGGATGGATGGATGGATGGATGGATGGATGGATGGATGGATGGATGGATGGATTGATGGATTGATTGATTGATTGATTGATTGATATTTCTGTTGAGTGCCCTGAGACGACTTCTGTTGTAACTTGGCGCTGTATAAATAAACTGAATTGAATTCTCTCCTGTGCTACAGAGGCTCAGAAGAAACCCTTGATAATTATAGTAACCACAGCCAGCAAACCATTAGGGACCAGTCTGACCAGTATGGAAAAAATACATGGACAGAGTTATGAGGAAGGCAAACAAGATTGTAGCAGACAACACACATCCCCTGAGATCCAGTTGCTTCCTCCAGTGCAAAGGAACTGCCTTCCTTTAATTTCAAGAGTCGGGACACATTTTTCTTTCACAGCACAAGCGATTAAATCGTTAAACAATAAAACGGAATCATAGTTGCT